GACCTAGTGCCCCACTGCAGGAACCCAGGGGCCTGGATGTGGATTGTAATTGTGTGCAAAAGGCTGGGGAGTTCACTCAGTGGCAAGTGCAGGGTCCTGAATTCAATCCCTGATACCAAAAAAACAAAAGAAATTGTGTGAAGGGCTGGGGAGATGGCTCAGTGGAATAAGCGCTTCCCTGACAAGTGCAAGGGCCTGAGTTCAATCCCTGGATTCGCAAAAAAAAAAAAAAAGAAAGAAATTGTGTGAAAAAAATGCACCTGTGCTGACACATGTGGGCTGTTTTCTTGTCCGTGTCCCCGTGAGTTCAGTACAGTGACGTTGTGCAGCATAAATGCTACACAGTGATATCACTAGAGATGGTAGAGGAGGAAGTACAAATTGTGTGCAAGTAGAGCCCCTTCTTACCACCCCCCCAGTGTACCCCCAGCCCATACTTGGGATGCGACCCAGGGCCTCCCATACTGGGGCAGGCGCTCTGCCTCTCACCCACTGAACCGTACCCACCACCACTACCACCCCTCCTACTAGGCCTGTGCGTGAGTGCTTGTGTGGCACTTGAGGGTTGAACCCAAGAGCTTTGCACTGAGCCACATCCCCCGCTGCCCCTCCCCATCTCTTTTTGAGGCAAGAGCTCCTGGGCTTGAATGTATGTTTCTCCTGCCTGCCTCAGCCTCCCAGAGTGCAGAGGCCACAAGCGTGCACACAGAAGCCCCAGAAGCCATCTGGATCTCTTTTCCCTTGGAAGACATAAACATTCTAAAATGCCCTCGAAGGTACTGCGCCTTTGTAATTCCACTGAAGCAATCCACCTTCTCGTGCGACCAGCTCCGTCTTCTCCCTTTGGGGGGATCTCCCCCGCCCCCCAGCAGGAACTGAGCAGGTGGCCCCTGCCTTGCAGCACACCTGTGTGACCTGCCACATGCGTCCAGCGAGGGCGGGCTGTGTGCGAGGGTCGTCGTTCCTCTATGGAGAGAGACTGTGAAGTCCTTCCCTGTAGCTTCCCTTTCCCAGGAAGCCGTGTGAGAAGACCCCCGACCCTGCGGCCCTCGGGCCTTTCCTGTTCCCGTCTGCTAGTATTCCACAGCGGCCGTAACGTCTGAGGAGACACGCAGTCCTCTGGCGGGCCGCATCTCGTCCCCAGAGCCCATGTCCATCCTCAGGAGCTCCTCCTCTGGGGCAGCGACTACAGCCTGAGCCCAAAGCCACCCGCAGCCCAGGTCCTGCCACCTTTACTTCATGCTGCTTCCTGTGGGGGTGCCCTTTTCCTCATCAGCATTTTAACAGTCCAGGCTGAATTTCTCAGTTTGCCCTCTTTCCGGTCCTTTACATTAATCACTTTTTTTTTTGTTTTGTTTTTGAGATAGGGTCTTTTTTTTTAAATTTTTAATTTTTTAATTTTTTGCTCGGAATGCCTTCAGGACAAGTTTCGCTGGCTGGAGTTGTGGGGATCGAACCACAGCAACCTGAGCCTGACTGCTTTGTTGAAGCAGCCACTTAAAGAGCTGAGCTAAGGGCAGCTTTTTTTTTTTTTGGTGGTACTGTGGATTGAAATCAGGTCCTTGGGCTTGCCAGGCAAGCGCTTACTCTACTGAGCTAGCTCCTCAGCCCTGAGATAGGGTCTTACTAAGATAGTTCAGGTTGGCCTCGAACTTGTGGCAAACCTCCTGCTTCAGCCTCCTGAGTGCCAGGATTACAGGTGTGAGCCACCAACACACCTGGCCACAGTTGATCACTTTTAACTGTGTAACAAATGAAAAGGGGGGACCTGCTAGATTCCAGTCTCTACTCCAAGCACTTGGCAAAATACTGCCCTCCCCCTATTTGCCGCTCTCAGGCTTTATCTTTAGTGTGGTGTCTTACCTGGCCTCCACCTGTCTCTGCCTGCTGCTGTTAGGCCCACGTGGCACCCTCCCGAGCCCCGAGCCTGGGAAACCGAATCTGCCCCCAGCTGTCTTTCCAGAGTGTGAATCGCAGAGTCTCACACAGAGTAAGTGTGTAATAGCTGCTCACTAAATAGGTCCAGCTGGGACTCCGGGGACGTACTTGCACCGCATTAGCGCTGTTCCTTCCAAATCTAACCTGTTTGTCACCATCAACACCTGGCTGTTAGCTGCTGGCAGGAAGGCTTTGTGCGAGTGAGCTCCGCCTCCAGAGGAAAACGCCTTACCAGTCCCGAAGTTCTGAAAGGCAAAATACCTTGAGGTGGCTCCCGTACCGCTTCCAGCTGTGACATCTTTGCAAGTTAAATTACCAGAAAGGAAGTGGCCTCCAAACTGACGGCCACCAATGGAAAGCTGGGCTTGCCCCCTCGTGACCGGAGAGGGGGTTGCCCAGGCGACCATTGGCCTGTGGATCCCCCTCCCCTGGGTAGGTTACTGGGAAGGAGTCCAGGGACAAAGGCAGGGACGGCCGTGGTGGCCTTTCCCACTGGCCCTCTCCTTCCAGCTGCATCAAACCCTACAACCAGACCACACTAATTAGCCTGCCGCTAGGTGTTGCCATGGTGACCGGGCACTTGTTAAAGCTCAGGAATGGTGTTCATTATTGTCCCATGGCTTTAGCGGTGGGGGAAAGGGCAGGCTGGCCGTTGTTTTCCAAATGAATCTTGGCCCAAGAGCCTCCGGGAATGTCCCTCTTGGACAGCCGGGGAAATGGTGAGTGTCACAGACTCAGTCCTGTCTTTCAGACAGCTTTTATAACCCTAGTGCTAGGCCTCGGAATTGCAGCTAGAAGGGACCGCCTTGGGGACAGGAAGTGCAGGTCGAGAGCAGCCAGAGCCGGAGAGGTGTTTTGAGTTGTCTTTCAGCTTGTGACGGCTGCGCTGAGGTGGTTTCTTAGGTTATTACGCACGTAACACTGCACAGTCTGAGTCTCCCCGCGCTCTGCAGAGGCCCAAGGAGGCACTCGGCGGCAGCGCGGTCATCTCGCGCCACCTTTGGTCGTCACCACAGAAATGGCCTGATGCTTCACCAAGCAGCAGCTTGGCCTCGTAGGCTTATGCATTTCTTGCTTCTCTAAGGACAGTTCAAGTAAGCAAGTCTAAGACCCGAAGCCACGCGTGTTGGCTGTTCGCCTGCAAGCTCCATGCGGTGCTTGGTTCGCTTTACCTAGCCATAGCGTTTGCATGAGAGGCTCTGAGGGCCGTCAGCACTCGAGGACGGCAGCTGCTGCGAGCCTGAACTTCACTTTTTGCTAGGTTGGAAAGCATGGAATAATGGGCGGGCTTTGAGTTCACCACTGTCTGCATGTTCGAAGGGCTCCAGAGGAAGCTCCCTGACTTTGTGCTTTTAAATAGTTGCATGCTATCGTGCCTCTCTTTGATCCTCTAGTTCAGTTGTACAGAATAACAAAATGCAAGTTAATTAAAGGCAATCAGTGGCTGGATTAAAGCGAGTCACCATCCCAACAGCTGTAAGTGGGAAATGACCCCCAGTTTTTTCTTTACCCTAAAAAAAGTATAAGTGCCAGGGAGATGGCTCAGCGGAATAAGCGCTTCCCTGGCAAGCGCAAGGGCCTGAGTTCGAACCCCATCTCCACCAAAAAACCCATAAATAAATAATTTTTTAAAATTTTGTTTATTTATTTTGTGTGTGTGTCCAGCTCAGCCCACCAGGGGGCGGGGCTAGCTGGCATGTGGTGCTGGGGGATTGAACCACGGTCCCTGTGCTTTGCTCAGCTTAGCTTGTTCTAAGTAGGTGCTTTAGGCCACTGAGCCATCTCACCAGCCCCAATAAATAAATTTTTAAAAAGTATATTGTTCGGGCAGCAGTAGCAGTTTGGCTGCTGAGCAGCCAAGAGTTAAGCGGCAGAAGCGGAGTTTCCGCTCCCTCTCCTGTCTTAGTGTCTCTGCTCCTGGTTTCTCCCCATTTATATGGAACTCCCCACAAGTGCGGTATTTGGCTAGAACTTGGGCAAATTTAGATTCCTTCTGTGTACTTGACTGGCTGGCCTCTTCACCTGTTCCTCTGTGTGTGTTCTCTTCACTGATTGCTGCAATATTTAGCTCAAAAATGCATTTTAAAGTGACATTGACAAAGCAAATAAAGTGGTATTTTTATGATATAATTCTTTGAAAATTTTTTAAATTGTTGGTGCATTCATGATATTTGTGAGGTTATATGGTATTGAACGTGGATATTTATCTTAAGGAATTATTAGTGTCTTTCAAGATACACTAATGGTATTATAGCTACATTAAATATGTCCTGTACTAAAATACTTACTAATAAGATGTTCTGAAGGGGCTGGTGAGATGGCTCAGTGGTCTAAAGCACCTACTTGGAACAAGCTTAGCAAAGCACAGGGACCGCGGTTCAATCCCCAGCACCACATGCCAGCCAGCCCGCCCCCTGGTGGGCTGAGCTCCCCCCCCATAAATAAATAAAATTAAAAAAAAAAAGATGTTGTGAAGACTGGGATTTCTTCCAAAAATATCAAGGGTCGGACAGGGTAAGCTGTGGAAGGGACAGGACTGGGTAGGGTCATAGATAGGGAAGCTGGATGGCTTGCGTCCTCAAGAGTTCATTTTCTAGGCTGTAGTTTGTATTTCGTTTACAATTTTTTCTCTACATTTGATTTTCCCTTTTGTCCTGGGGATTGAGCTCATTGCCGTCGTACTGGGACAGGTCCCCAGTTTATTCAGTTTTGTGCCTTGAGACAGGGTCTTGTTAGACAAACTTGCGGGCCTGCCTCAGTCTTCCCGCCCGCCCGTGGCAGTGACAGGAGCCTGCCGCCACGCTCGGCAGCCTGCCCGGCTCAGTCTCAGCATCTCTGCCTCACTGTCACCCGGTGCAGATGCCAGACCACTTTGACCAGGCTGTTGTCCTGAACCAGCTGCGCTACTCGGGGATGCTGGAGACTGTGCGCATCCGCAAGGCTGGCTACGCTGTCCGAAGGCCCTTCCAGGACTTTTATAAACGGTGAGTGCTGAAGGGGTTCCTCTTCCTCTGGGAGCAGGGCTGGGAGGAAACAGGGACCCTTGCAGAGGGTGACCCCTGGGTCTCGTGCTCAGGTATAAAGTGCTGGCGAGGAACCTGGCCCTGCCTGAGGACATACGTGGCAGGTGTGTGGCCCTGCTGCAGCTCTATGATGCCTCCAGCAATGAGTGGCAGCTCGGGAAGACCAAGGTGAGCAGGGCCAGTGTGGCCCAGTGCCTGGGGTGTACTAGGCAGCCCAGGCCCTTCCCAAGGGCTGTGTCCATCCACGGAGTGCGTCCCTGCCACCGTAGCAGCAGCTCTTGTGCGGGAGGACAGCAGACAGCACAGTGAAGGGCAGAGCTGGCAGCAGTGGTGCCTGTTTGTAACCCTAGCCCTTGGGGAGGCTGAGGCAGGAAGATTGCAGGTATAAAACCTCCAAGTCCTCCCTGGGCAATTTGATGACACCTTGTTTCAAAATTTTAAAAGAAAACAATTTTAAAGGATTGGAGATGCTCAGGGGGGCAGCCACGTCCTCTGTGTCAGGGAACACCAGGATTCTCATGTGGCTTTTGGTCTTGTGCCCCACACCCCACCCTTAGTGTCTCATGGCAAGGGGATGACACCGGTGTGCTCCACACAAACGCAGGTGGCTGGGCCCAGTGGGGGGTCTCCAGTGTCTTCTTAAGAGATGATTCTCAAGCTCCAGGCCCTGCCTCTGTGTGACAGTGCAGGGTCAGGAAAGCATCTGACTGTTTCCATGCCAGCCACCTTGTGTTTGTAGGCTTGGGGGTCTTTTGAGACAGGGTTTCACTATGTGGGTCAGGCTGGCCTTGAACTCCTGCTCTGGTCTGCTGAAATGGAGGCAGTGTCACCGCCGCAGCAGTGACCCGTCTGCCCTGCTGTATGCTGTTAGTGAAACCAGGCGATGCCTCAGGCTCGCCGGGCTCCTTTCCCCACCCCTCCAAGGCCGGCACAACCTTCAGGGCTTGGCGCAGATGCATACTGACCGCAAGTGTGTGTTGGACCTTCTTCCGTGCTGCTCCTGCGTCTCCATGTTCTTTGTTTAGCTTGGCCTGTCACTCTACACGCTGCCGGCCACGTGGCATGAAGAGCCAGCTGTCCTTCTACACAGGGCCCCTGTCAGAGTTGCTCAGAGCCTGTCCTGAGCAGCTGCAAGGGGGCCAAGGATGGGCTTCTTGGTCACTCAAGGGATGCGCTAGAGAAAGTGGCGCAGGGAGCTCTTGCCAGCAGTAGACTCTGCTGGACTTTTATTTAAATCAAAAGAATTGGGAGCGGGGGAGATGGTTCAGTGGAATAAGTGCTTCCCTGGCTAGCGCAAGGGCCTGAGTTCAATCCCAGCCCGAGTTCAATCCCCGGTTCCACCAAAAAGACCCCAAAAACAAACAAGCAAACAATAAATCAAAAGAATTGAAGCCAGGCACGGTGTCGCACACCTATAGTCCTCGTACTCCGGAGGCTGAGGCAAGAGGACTGCTGGGAATCCGAGGCCAGCCTGGACTCCATAATGAGAGCCTCCCTCCTGTCTCACGGCCATCACCCAGCTCTGCTCTGTGCCCAGTGCCAACCAGCTGCTCCTTAGTTTACATTCTGGAAACCAGGCCACAGGGCTGGCCATTTGCTGGTGCTGGGGAGGCCACTGTCCCCGGCTGGCTGTGTGGCTGGAAGACAAGATCTCTACGCCCCGCTGGTGGAGCTGGCTGCAAGCGTGTGGATGAAAATCACCAAGAACAGCTGGCACCTGGGTCCTGAGGCGTAATCTTCACTAAGGAAGGAGACAGCCTCTCCTGGGAGAGCAGCTCCCAGCAGCCCGCCATGACCAGAGAAGCACTGCAGAACCAGAGCGCTTAGGGAGTTACATTTTGACAGAAGAGGAGTTGAAAGCGGAAATTGAGGCTGGCCGCAAGCTCCTCCGCCAGTAGGAACACTGGAGAGAACTGCAAACACGAAGCCTTGGAGTAGTGTGTCCTCCACAGCTCTGACCTTGGCCAGCAGCTCGATTTAATTATTCACTAGCGTACCTGTCGTCTGGGGCTGCCACTGGGCCTCACAGGTTTCGGGATCTTCGTACAGGAATCTCCATCCACACCAGCGGGCTGTGGGCTGCTGTAGCCGTGGGTTCAGGGCAGGTGACACTGTGTCTCTTTGGCCTGAGGCAGAACTTCTGCAGCCCTCACAGGGAGGGCTTCTGTCTGGAGTGAGGACCTCCAGAACAGTGACCTCTGAGCTGACTCAGTGGAAAAACAGGGGTAGATGGGACACAGTGACTCAGATTAATTAAGTAAGTATTTTGCGGTGTCGGGGATTGAACTCAGGACCCTGCACTTGCCAGGCAAGCGCTTATTCTCCTGAGCTATCTCCCCAGCCCTCAGAGATGTTTTTTCTCCCTTTGTTGTACACCCGAAATTCATTTTTTAATTTATTTTTGGTACTGGCGATCAAACACAGGACCTTGCGCTTGCCGGGCAGGCACTTATACCACTGAGCTACTTCCCCAGTTCCTTTTTTCCCCCTTTGTGAAACTGGGGATTGAGTCCAGGCCCTGCACACTGAGCTACGTATTGGCTTTTTCCTTTTTCTCAGACCTGGAAACCCAAAAATAGCTCCAGTTTAGTTCTTCCCAATTCACACGTGTGTGACTACTGATGTACTTCAAGTCACACTTCAAATTCAGTTTTCAAATTTTGTTTTAATTTTTTGAGGCAGGGTCTCTATGTACTCGAGGGTATCCTTGGACTCACAGCGATCCTCCTGCCTCAGCTTCAAGAATGTGGTCTTTATTTTTATATGTGTGTGCTGAGAACCAGTCCCAGGGTCTCACATAAATTAGCGTCTCCTCCTCCTTGCTCTTTTCTTTAATGGTGTTGGGAATTGAACCCAGAAGCGCTGAGTGACATCCCTAGCTATTTTCCAACAGGGTCGAGGTTGCCCAGCTGGCTCTGAGCTTGCAGAGCCCTCCCGCCAGATTACAGCCCTGCGCCCCCACACCCAGGAGGTTGTCTCAGTGTCACTATTTTTGTATGCATTTAAGTTTTTGAAACCAAAATACTCTGCTCATAGTTGCTTAGCAGGCATGAAAAGGAGGTGTCCATACCAGGATGCAAGATGACACTTTACAGCTTCCCGGGCCTCTCTCTTTTCACCCCCCTCTTCTGCGCCCTGGGCAGTTCTCGCTCAGATGAACCAGAGGCCATGCGCTGGTCAGTGGACTGTGTCTCAGCCCACAGTGTCCACGCAGAAGAATCCCGCAGCCTTTACAGAGCGTACAGCTGTATGGCCACGTGTGCCTGCTGACCCCATCACAGAAGCTACGAGGCTTGACTTTTGTATATGCTTCTGGGTTTTTTGTTTTGTTTTTAGTAAGGGTCTACAGGGTCTCACTGCATAGATAGGACTTGTAGTGATCCGCCTGTGTTCAGCCTCCCCAGCGCTGGGATTACAGCTCTGCGCCACCATGCTCTGACTAGGTCGCTGGCTCAGTGCGCCCCAGGGCGGGGCTGACGTGGCATGTGGGACCAGGGATTGCACCCTGGTCCCTAAGCTATCTCGCCAGCCCTTTGTGATATGTCCTGATTGGATTTTATACAGGTGTCACTCCTTGGCAGGTAGAACCTTTAAAAAAAAAAGCACTGTTCTGGAAAACATGGCCACAGGAGTCTGTAGCAAGCAGGAGAAAGACAAAAGCGTCACCCCAAAGCCAGGCACAGGGCTGTACACCTGCAGTCCCAGCTCTCAGAAAGCTAAGGCTGGAGGATGGCTACAAGTTCAAAGCCAGCCTAGAGTACATAGCAAGACCCAGTCTCAAAAAAAAAAAAGATCCTCCCCAAATCAGCATTGCCCCCGAAAGCCCCAACTCAGCGAGGCCTTCTTTCTGCCAACCGTGTTCTGTGCTTGCTGGGCACCGCCCTCCCCCAGGTCTTCCTCCGGGAATCCTTGGAGCAGAAGCTGGAGAAGCAGCGGGAGGAAGAAGTTACGCGGGCAGCCATGGTGATCCAGGCCCACATCCTGGGCTACTTGGCACGGTGAGGACCACGGAGAGGGCAGCAGCTGTGTTCCCAGCGAGGAGCCTGCTGCTGGCCACAGCCATCAGAGAAGGCGCTGGTGGGCTTCCGACCGCAGCCGCTCCTGGGGCTCTGCTGAGGCTGTGCTCGCTTGGGTGGTTGCTCTGCCTCCGGCCCTGAAGCCGCGGCCCCCTGCCGTTCACTTTGGCACCGCACTCTGGGGATCCCTTATCCCAAATGCCTGGCACTAAGAAGGTTTTGAACTTGGCAGGTTTTGGGTTCTGGGATACTTGCACAGGCCTGGTGGACTGTGTCTTAGCTGACAATCTAAAATCCACCATGTTCCACGATCGTTTTTTATATTTTTAAATGGTAGCAGGGATGGGGCCAGGGCCTCGCGCATGCGAGGCATGTGCTAACCCAGACCCAGTAATCTGAAATGATTTCAGCATCACTTCAACACTTACAAAGTAGAATTTCAGACTTCCGCCAAGGGGTGCTCACTGCACACCACTGTCTTTAGAAACAGGTCTTAATGTGTGCTCCCTTCCGGGTGACCTTGAACTCACCCAACCTGGCCCCTAGCAGTTCTCTTGCCTCAGCCTCTCATGGGCTGGATTACAGGCATGCGGCACCGGTCAGGACTACATTTTCTGCAATCTGGAGCCACTCTACTGCAGTGAATTTTGTTTCGTTTCCTTGATTATTTTCCCTTCTGTCCTGTTCAGTCTGTGTCCTGCCGGATTACTCCAAGTGGGCAGTCGTGTCTGTGTGTTTATTTAGCCACAGCAGTGCCAGGGCTCTTAGCTTAGTTTAACCCTTCTTTGGGTTTCCTTCGGTTTTGCTGTAGCCACAGGGGCGGCTTCGCTCCCCAGTGAGGCTGCGGGCGCCTCCTCTGGCGTTCCCTCCGTACATGCGCCTCGGGTAGCCCACGGCCTCACGGGCTGCCCTGCCGTCTGCCCTGCAGAAAGCACTACAGACAGGTCCTGCACGGCGTGGTGACGATCCAGAAGAACGTCCGGGCCTTCCTGCTGCGGCGCAGGTTCCTGCACCTGAAGAAAGCAGCCCTGGTGCTGCAGAAACAGCTCCGCGGCCAGCAAGCGCGCAGGGCCTTTGGGCGGCTGTTGGCAGAGAAGCGCGAGGAGGAAGCGAGGAAGAGGCGGGAGGAGGCGGAGGAGAGGTACCGGCCCTTCCTGCTAGAGGTGGGAAAGGGGCACGCTTAGGTTCTAAGCTCCATATATATTAAGAATCCCCGCTTGGTAATACCACCCCCTCCCCCCTCGCCGCCGCCCCAGTGTGGAACAAATAAGCCATTCCTGGCCGCTAGAGTGCGGGATTCTGTCGAGGCCCTGGCTCGCCAGGTTTTCCCTACTCTGTGCGTGCAGGGAACCCGCACCGCAGACGCAGGGGGGCCTGGCCCCTAGCCTTGCCCTCGCCCTTCCCTCCGAGTGCTATTGAAAGTGAGCTGCCAGCCAGGGTGCCACTCAGTACAGAGCCCCTGCCCAGCATACCCTGGGCTCAGTTCCAAGTCCCCTAGCTGCCGCATAAAGGAGAACATCTTACCCCAGAGTGGTTCAGATTAATGTTGATGTGCACCCTCTGTCTTTTCTGTTTTCAGAGAAAGAGAGAGAGAGCGGAAAGCAGCAGAGCTCCGGGCCCAGCAGGTGGGGACTGTGGCGACGACATGGCCTGCCTGGCCTTTACCTGTTTTCTCCCCGCCTCAAACCTCTTGGCTTGAGGATGTAAAACTTAGAGGTATCCAGGAAGAGCGGCTTGGAGGAAAGGGTGTCATGCCCCTTCTCCCCGACACAGCTGGCCGACCGCAGTCAGTGTTTAAGCCTCCAGTGTGAATCATGCTGGGCTTGCTTCTCTAAGCCCCGTCTCGGGCCGCTTGGGCTGCTGCAATCCAGACTGGGTGGGAGACATGATGGACGCTGATCTTCGCAAACTTCCTGAGCTGGGAGACTGCAGCTAGGCTTCTCCAGGGGCTTAGCCCAGTGGTGCTCAAGAGGCCCCTTCTGCCATGTCCCATGTCCTCTCTTGAGGCTTCCTGCATGTCCCTGATGTGTACAGCGTCTTGATTCTTAGAACACCAACATCTATTTTGGACCCAGGACCTTTGTACTGAGCTAGTTTTCCAGGCTTTTAAAAAAAATTTGAGACTAGGTCTCTCAAAGTCACTAAATTGCCTGCGTGAAACTCAAACTTGCAATCCTAACTGGGGCTGTAGCTTGGTGGTCTGGTGCTTGCCTAACACAAGGTTCTGGATTCCAATCCCAGCACTACAACAACGGAAACAACACCCCCCCCCACTCCCCTGCAAAAAAAAAAAACCCTACACCTTCCAATCCTGCCTCAGCCTCCCAAAGTGCTGGGAATACAGGCCAGCACTACCACACCCCGCTAAGGGCCCTGTTTAGATTGGATGTATCCCCAACTTAAGAGCGCCTTTTTTTTTTTTTTTTTTATTTTTTTTTTTTCCATCTATCCATTTATGTGTGTGTGGCCAGCTCAGCCCACCAGGGGGCGGGGCTGGCTGGCATGTGGTGCTGGGGGATTGAACCGCAGTCCCTGTGCTTCGCCAAGCTTGTTCTAAGTAGGTGCTTTAGACCACTGAGCCATCTCACCAGCCCAAGAGCGCCTTTTAACCTCCTCACTTCTTTAAAAGCCTTCTGTCCAAGCCCAGCACACCCTGAGGTCCTGGGGACCCGGGCTTCACCTGAGTCTGGGTACAATGCTGAGGGCCTGGTCACCGCCTGCTCCAGGCTGGTGGAGGCTGCAGAGCTATATCCAAGCTGCAGCGCAGACCCTAACGTGCCTCTCCTTCCACGCAGGAGGAAGAGGCCAGGCAGCAGAGCTTGAGGGACGCAGCCTGGAACCGTCAGCTGCAGAAGCAGCGGGAGAACAAGCAGGTGGAGGAGATCCTGCGCCTGGAGCGTGAGATCGAGGACCTGCAGCGCATGAAGGAGCAGCAGGAACTGAGTCTGACCGAGGCATCGCTGCAGCGGCTGCGGCAGCGGCGGGACGAGGAGCTGCGGCGGCTGGAGGACGAGGCCAGCCGGGCGGCGCATGAGTTCCTGGCCGCGCTCAACTTCCACGAGATCGACGCATGCGTGCGTGGCCTTGAGCGCTCCCTGGCAATGGCGCCCAGTGGGGACGGCACGGTGACCCCGGGCTTCAACTTCAGCCAGCCCTACCCCGAGGAGGATGAGGAGGACGAGGGTTTCGCAGCAGATGATGATGCCTTCAAGGACTCGCCCAACCCCAGCGAGCACGGCCACTCAGACCAGCGTACAAGTGGCATCCGTACCAGCGATGACTCCTCCGAGGAGGACCCCTACGTACACGAAGCCGCGGGGGCCCCCAGGGAACCCGGGCCACCGCCCAACCCGCAGGAGGCCACCTACTGCGAGCCCAGTGAGGCCCCACATGGAGACCCAGAGGATGACTACGACGACGGCGCCATCACCTCCGGCAGCAGCATCACCTTCTCCAACTCCTACGGCAGCCAGTGGTCCCCCGACTACCGCTGCTCCGTGGGCACCTGCAACAGCTCAGCCGCCTATGGCCTCAGCTCTGAGGGCGCGCAGTCCTCGGTGAGTACCGGGGTCCCTGGGCGTGGAGTGTGCTAGTGAGGAGACACCTGGTGTCCACATTATCCCTTAGCTTTGTGGGAATCCTAAACCACAAATGTCCAAAACAGGGTTCACACTGGCTAGGGTGGTGGTATGGGCCCATAATCATAGTGTTCGGGAGAGGCTGGGGCGAGAAGATTGACACAAGTTCCAGACCAGCCTGGCCATAGGGCCATAGATGTCTAAATAAAAGAGCCCCAAAACAGATCTTAAACCACAGATTGCAAAATCAGGAGCTGGGCTGGGTATGCTGGAGAGGCTGAGATAGGAGGGTCTCCAGGGGTACCGGGCTATACAGCAAGAGTCTTGTCTCAGGATCACACACACACACACACACACACACACACACACACACACACGAAGTGACATTTCCCTAAAGCAGAAATTTGAAAATCAGGATCTAAACTAGGAGTGATGGCTCATGCCTATGATCTATCACCTGAGAGGCTGAGGCAAGAGAATTACCTCAAGACCAGCGTAAGCTGCATGGTGAACAGGCAGAGCCCCCCCAACCAAAGATGTCAGAGTCGGGATCTGAGCCAGTTGCATGGTGCCCATCTGTAACCCTGCTCGCGAGAGACTGGTGCAGCAGGACGGCCAGGAGTTCAGAGCCAGACTAGGATACACAGCAAGACCCCATCTCAAAAAAACCAAGCGGGGTCTTAGCAGTAGTCTTTTTTTTTTTCTTTTTTCTTTCTTTTTTTAATTTTTTTATTTTTTGTTGGAACCTGGGATTGAACTCAAGCCCTTGAGCTTGCCAGGGAAGCGCTTATTCTACTGAGAGCCATCTCCCCGGCCCCTTTAAGGGTTTTTTTGTTGCTTTTTATGTATATGGTTGTTGCAGGGTTTCACTACGCAGCTTGGACTCGTGGTGATCCTCCTGTTTTCAGCCTCCCCTGCGCTGGGATTACGGGCATACACCACCATGCCCAGACTCTGGCCTGCTTAGCGCACCCAGGGCGGAGATGGCGAGGCATGTGTTGCCGGGGATCAAGCCGCTTGCCTAAGCTTGTCCAGGTAGGCCGTTTATCTGCTGAGATATCTTGCCAGCCCTTTAGCATAGTAATTTAAAGACGTTTAACTTACATGGTTTGATTAGGTTTACACCTTTTCACAACAGTGTCATTTTTGGAAGAGACTGGATAAAAGTATATTTTGACTTGTAGGTGTTAGTTTAGCTAGTATTTAGGTCTTTTTTGTTAGTGTGTTTGATTTGGGTTTTTTTGAGGTTTTTTCTTTAGACAGGGTCTCACTATGTGGCACAGGCTGGCTTCGAACACTTGCCTCTCCTGCCTTAGCCTCCCGAGTGTGGGATTAGAGCTGTGTGCCACCACGCCCAGCTTGATATTTGCTGTACTGTGCTGCTTTGGTCACCCGCCCTCGCTGGAGTGGTCCCGTGGGGAATGTGGCTCCTGGGTCCCCTGTGCTGAGTGTTTCCTTTGTTGTCTTCCATGCTTTTTGCACCCGGTGGCTCTCTCTCCTCTCCCAGTTTGAAGACAGTGAAGAGGACTTTGACTCCAGATTTGACACAGATGACGAGCTGTCCTACCGGCGCGACTCTGTGTACAGCTGTGTCACGCTACCCTACTTCCACAGTTTCCTGTACATGAAAGGTATGGTCTGCAGGCCTGAGCAGCACCGGTGAGGGCAGTGGAGACTGAGGTTGTTTTGTTTTG